GGGGTTCAAGGAGAAGATATCTGTTGCTTGTGCCGAGAGAGAAGAACAGAATCTGAGGAAAGAATCCAAGGATAAGGAGGGTCTAGAAGTGTACGGAATGTTGAAGGAAGGAATAGGGTTCAAGGATTACCTACATGGACCAATGGATGCAGGGTTAAAGCTTAAGGTCAAATTCAGGACCGGGGACATAGGCCTTCGAGAACGTCGACGAAGACATAGGACGGTAGACGACGAAGACGACGAGTTCAAATGTGATTGCGGCTTCGAATGCGAAGACCGTGTTCATGTAGTTACGGAATGTCCGTTGTACACGAAGGAGAGGGAAGTGTACGTGACTGAGCTGGGAAAATTGGATAGGACGTACAGGGAGATGTTTGAGGCATGGAATAGAGAGGAAAGGACGGTAGCTGTACTGGGGCATAGGAGGTGGTTTGAAAAGGCGGAAAGGGATATCGTTAGGATAGACAGACTAGGGAAGACATTTTTGAGCCACCCTTGGCAATGTAAAAAGCGGACGAACTGCGAATCCTTGTGCATGAGCTTAGGCAATGGTACCTCTTGCGGTCTTTTTTCTCTTCGTCTTTGTTGCTTTTACGTTCCTCCTCCCTCTCTTGTTGAACGGTTGCTCGTAAACCTTTATCCATCTCAGTTTCACCACTCTCTGCGTGTGTGGTATGTGGACCATCATTGTTTTGCGCAACCCCGCGGGGGGGGGCTTCCCCCCAGGGTAGCGTTGGAAAAAAACAAACTAATCCCCCGCGGTACGTCAATTTCCCGCCGGGGGGGGGGTGGTTTTTCAGAATAATAAACGATCCCCTCCCCAGGGGGAAAACTCCGTAGCTTACGGTAATTTATCCTTTGCAGTCCGCCCACTTCACCTCACAATCGTTTCTTTCTCGATTTGTAATTGTGTTGGCTCCGTAAAGCGCAATCCATCGCTGCGCCATATGTAAAGCGCAATCAATCGCTGCGCCATATGATCACAACCCTGCAATAGTGCCACAACCGGCGATATTGAGGGTTTCTGAGCCCTCAATGTTGCGCTATTGAGGCACTATTCCAATGGCGCCGGCCGCTCTGAACAGCGCCAGTCGATGCGCTGGGCACATGCCGGCGTATTGAGGACCCCCCACTGTATGTAACACACCGGAGAATTCTCAGCAGTAAGTTTGTGCTTGGCGCGTCGGCACTCATTCCTGTTTACGCACTCAACGCGCCATTACTCTTGTATTCGGCACTGCTGCTGCTGTTGCTTCTGCTACTGCCTACAAACAGGGTGGCATTCCGGTCATGCTACACGTGAAGGTTGGGAAGCTCGAACCAGGGTCTATTCAGCTCGTCGACGAGGAGAACGAGAAGCTCGTCATCAAGACTCTCAGGTGCCAATCATGGAATCGCACGCTATATTGTATTTGATCAACAAGGCGAAAAGGTGAAAGAAGATAAGGCTGAAAACCACCTCACCTGGTATACCGTGAAAGACATCGGTACGACATCTGGACACTGGTCGGTGGAGTGGACTCCTCTCTTATGTACACTCTTTCCGATGTTTTTGTCACTCCTTTGATAATAATTCCACGAAGGATGCTGCTCTCCGGCCAAGAGAGTTCACTTTCGTACTACGAATTCGCAAGAGGATACGGGCAGATCCACGGAGATATGTGTTACAACACCGAATTATGTTATACAGTATGTGTCCCGGCAAAGTGCTGGTTGAATAGTGCCGAAGTCCGGTATAGTGCCGGTACATTTTCTTGACACAGGCACAGGCCTGAATAGTGCCAAACCGGCACTGTTGAGGGCTGCCCGCTATAGTGCCGGTTCAGGCACTATCGAACCCCTCAATAGTGCCGGTTCACACACCCCACACAGCATTTTATCGCCTCAAGCCTTCCACACAACAGGATTCCGGGAGGGTTTACCTTGGAGCTACGAGTAGCTCGGTTTCTATCAGTACGCTTGACGTCTTCAAATGTCATGGTTCACCGATCGACCTCATTCCACCACAGCCAATTCAGCCAATAGGTTGGGATTTCAGTGGTGAGGCGGGCAAAAAGGAAGATGGTGGTAGTGGCGAATGATGTGGAAACAATATCGAAGGATAGCAAGCAGTGATGATGTAGGAGGAAAATATGGCGTAGAGGGGAACAAGAGTTTCGAGCCAGATGGCCTTCCTCACAACAAATGCGGGGGGCAGAGTCTATGTAAAGATGAACGCCCAAAAAATAGTGGAAGTACTAGTGACGAGAGGAGCGGTGGTAAATACAAGGGTAAGGATGAAATCACTCCGAAAACGAACGTGTGTTCAAAGAACAGTAGCCTTGGTAGGCACGTGCGGTTCTTCTCTGTTGATACCATATCTGTCTTTTACCCTGAGAATGGCTCAGCTCCTGCATGACACCCTCTCACGGGGTCTCAGATCAGGGCCTCGAGCACCATATCTTTTCTGTTATCAGCCGCATTGAGACTGACGCCTCTTGGTTGGACAGACGTTTTTCTTGCTTCTTCTGAAAGCTTTGGGTCTTCCCTCTAGCTTTTTATCGAAGGAACAGGGGAGTTGTTTATCTTCTTCGCCCCTTTCGGTTGCATCTGCCGGTGTTGTGCTCATGTAAGGAGCACTACATCCATGCTGTCTCTCCAAATGTACATCGGGTACGTGCTTGAGCGTCTTCCTTTCGCTGTCGAGGGGTGCCTTTGAGGTTGCTTGAATAATGCTACGACCTTCTTGCCGCAACAATTCATAATTTGATAGCGAGGTGCCTTTTGATCGGGCAGCACGGTCCACGGTCAAAAGGCAGCGGCAACGTTCACTACCCTAGGGTGTGCGCTCAGGTGGGAAGAGAACCATGGTGCAACAAATGTATCTGGTCAGGTTAAGCTGAATGCGACCAAAGCCGTGTTCTAGGCTATCAGCCTCGCGAAACGTAAAAAAAGCCCGCCCACGTCGCCCACCTCACAATTGATCCGTATACCGTTCGTTTGGTACTCTGTTAGCCCCGCAAAACGCAAGTACTGCACCCTGAAGTCGAACAGTCCTCACTAGTGCCAAGCCGGCACTATTGAGGGATTTTTAGACCCTGAATAGTGCCGGCTCGGCACTATGAAGGCACAATTACGAACAGTGCCGGTGGCCGGTATAGTGTCGGTCCACCCCCCCTGGACACATACCGGCACTTTACCGGGACACTTACTGAAACTAAATTTAGACTGCAGACACGACTTTTGTACCCGAGGCTTTATCGGTCCTCTGAACGGCTCCAGCATTGGATCTCCTTCACCAACAAATGGTATACCTGGAGGGTAGGGGGGAAGCTCGCCCGCCCCCCCCCTGCGCTCTTCAAGGCTGTTGGTGGGATGAAAATGATGAAGAGCAACCACGGAAGGGATAGCGGAAGATGGATATGTACCCTTACGTTTCTCGTGACAACATGTGCTTCGTAGACAAAACCATAGACAGGAAGGAATTTGCTGTAGTCCATTGTTCGGTGTAAATCTTGCGAAAACAAAGACCGGTCAACAACAGCTCGCCGTACTCCCTACCGCCCACATACCCATTGCCTTCACATCGCCGACCTGATGACGATGCGACCCACGGCACTGCTGCAGGGAGGGATGGTTCTCGTGGTGCTACTGCTACAACAGGCGATACGAGCTTAGCCCGGGGCAGCTGGAACCTGTCGAGAATAGGACGCACACCATGAGACTCAACCGATCGACGGTTCTCCTGAACGGTGGTGAGCGACGAGTGTCGTAGTATGCCTTTCAGGCGGGGGTGGTCGCCTCGAGGATGCGTACGCAACCCTTACGACACTGGCTCTCTTTTCCCATCCAGAGGGAGCACGCTTGTGTCAACAACAGCGGTACCGTAGGTGGCACATGATATCACACTCTATGAACTGATTTTCAAGCCTCCATTTCTCCACAGCAGAGAGTGGCGATGCAGAAAATAGCGGTGTTGGAACAGCCTCGTCGAAGACACATGACGTCGTCCGGATTGTTCATCTTCTTCGGCTTGGTGGAGTAGTCGAGTTGCAGAAAGTCGGTGTAGAGGGTGTGACATCTTGTGTCGCCTACGGCAGCCAGACTGTACATGATGGTAGTGCTGTCAATGAGCACTCCCCTCTGCACTCCTACCAATAGACATAGGCAATGCCTACCGCCAGTTGGGCCAGTGATCCACGCCCCGCAGACCGCCGTTGCTATTTGCTCGATTGCTTTACGACGAAGAGGACGCAGCCCGTCGATAGGCAGAAGACAAGCTCTCGGCAAGATATTTTTCAAAGCCACCCCTTCGGCGGTGGTTCCCTCTCTGTCCTGGAGTATCAAAACTATGAGAGTCTGTCTTAAGGGGGCGTGCGATCACCCCCCACAATTTCGGCAGTCCGATCGCAGGCGATAGGAGTATTCACGAACAATGAAGCACTTCGGTCTGTCTGTTGTGTCGGGTGTGCCTGTAGCACTCTATTTCGATATACGCGCCATTTTCGCCTTCCTCCTCTCCCGCATCCCCCAACGCTCTTCGTCTCGTAACTGTTGTTGTGACCCGCTGCCCGCTGTCGCCCCAACGGTAGCCTTGGTCGGTGAGAACACGTCGTCCCGTCGTAGCGAAGCTGTTTTCACCACGCACAATTTTGAGTGCCCTCCCGCCCACCGCCGCCGCCGCCGCCTGTCGTTGTTGTCGTCTTTGATGAAATACTTGGTGGAATAGGTGACTCCCACAACACCGCCAGCATGCTCCGCCGCAGCCTCAGCCTCCTTCGCCGCCACCCCCACCCGGAGTCAATCGACCTCACGTTCTCCACACCCAAGCTGGAAGAGAGCTTGAGGCTTTGGGCGCACAAGAGACTGGCAGTCGTCAAGTAAGCCTGAGCGAACACGAAATACTAATGCTGGCAAGCACGATACACGGGAGAAAAAACGCCAGCGGAAACAGGCTTGCAGACAATCAACTTTCAGGCGTAGAAGAGACGACCAGAAACCGGAGTGAACATTCACGCGCTCGAGGCCAGATAAGAGAGTTTTCATGCATGCAGCTGGAAATGTAATTTTGCCTCCGTCCGTCCGGGCTCTGCAAAACGCCCACCAGGTCACCTGTAACACCCAACAGACCTATTCGACGCCCCCACTCGCTTTCACGAGAACAGCAATCGCCGTTTGGAACCTAGCTCGCCCTGTACTACCGTTCCACCACCCCGCCTCCCTTCCCCCCTCCGCGTCTCCCGTTTGGTTAAGCCGGGATCCCCAATCAACCCATGACATGTCTGGTGTGCCGCAGCAAACGCAAGGGCTTCTGATCTATCCTTTTGAAACGTAGCTTGGGCCGGCGAAAACCGGGCATATCGCTCCTTCCCGGCTTTGTAGAGCGAGGTCATTACTCTAACGATTACGACATGCGTATCCCCCCCCCCCCCGTGCCCCCCACCGAACCGCCCACCACAACACGGAAAAAAAAATCATGGAGCAGTCCAGCATCATCGCTTGCCCGCGAAAGCAGCGAGAGGGTCGTGCAGGCCCTCCAGGGTCTCCGCCCTTCCGAGGACTCTGACGTGGAGACGGCATACTCAGAGGAACAGCCAACCCCGAGGGAGCTCCGGCGCAGCGGCAGCCCCAAGATCTGGCCGGCACAGGGGCACCTGGTCAAGCGACAGAGCTCTCGGAAGGCATTCAAGTCCGAGTCGGAGAAGTGGGACCGACGACCCAGCGCCAGGAACGTGGGCTCCACGATCCCCGAGGGAAAGGATCCCGGTAGCAGCGGCGGCGAGGACAGCGGAGCCAGCGACGGCAGCGACAAGGCCGCGTGGGCGTGGAAGGCGCCGCCCGTGCTGCGCAAGCTGAGCGTCAGCAGCAACACCTCGTCACGAGGTGGGGGAGGGGGGCGGGGGGAGAGCGCCGCCGTCGTGTCGCCCCCCCCCCCGGACACGGCCGCGGGCAGCAGCAGCGTCGACAGTGCGGACATGGCGTCGGGCACCTCCACTCCGCCCCTGCCCCCTAGCGTGGGGTCCTTGCCGCCATCTCGCCGCTCTTCCCTTACGATCGGCGCCGCTGCCGCCCCTGCCGCCGAGGAGCGGGAGCCTGAAAGGGCCAGGTCTTCCGCCGACTCCGGCGCCCGCGGCGGCGACTTCTGGGACCCCCTCGGGCTGATGAACGACGCCACGCTGGACACGCCGCCGGCCAAGAAGACACTGCCCAGGCGCGGGTCGGCGCGCCGGGGGCAGGCTACGCAGTCCACCACCAGCACCGCCGCCGCCGCCGCCCCTGCCGCCGGAAGACCGCCGGCAACAACCGCGGCGGCGGGAGAAGGAAGGGGAGCAGGAGGAGGAGACGGGAAAGACCGAACCTTGCCCCCGCAAGGCTCGAAGAAGAAGAAGTCGTCGCAAGGCAAGGCCGCGGCGAAGGATCCCCCGAGGGTGACCATCGAGAGCGACAACAAGGAGTAGTAGGCCAACGGCAGTAATGGTGTTGTGTTTTGTTTTTTCCTTGTTCGCCGGGGGATGGGTGATAACGGAAGGTGGACCGAGAGCTGTGGGTGTTCGTGTGACCGGTCTTTCGACCCTACTGCAAGCGACCCTCTGCCGTGGAAGCGGCATGCATGTCGACAAGGTGGGAGGTAGGTGACAGCGGCGGGGTGGTGGAGGCGCCAGAGCTCGGGTGGTTGTCGGAGGAGAGCTCAGAGAGGCTCAGAGAGGAGGAAGAAGTGGGGCAAGAGGTCGGGCGGGAACGGGCTCGGCCAACGGCCGATAGTTTGCCCCGTCACCCGTTGAGCGAAGAGGGAATCCGTCAAGCTCACCCCCACACCCAACCTTCGTGCGACTCCGCGCGAAGCAACCCATGCCGGGCTGCTCGGTACCTGTTCGTGGGTCCGCAAGGGTGGGGAGGAGCACGCGGGGGCCGGGGGGAGGGGTACTCTTGTCTTTCCCTGCTGCGGGAGTTTTCTATATATATATATATATATATCTAGGGCAGAAAAAATAACATTGTGTACTTGCCGTGTATAATGCCAGACCATTTGTGCCGTTGGGATAGGGTCGGCGAGGAATGGCGCACACCAGAGGCACACTGAAACGCGGGTGGGCTTGAGAGCCTGCGTTCGGGCACTCGCGTGGATCGGCGAGGCACTTGACCTTTAACCAACGATGGTGTTATAGCAAAGAGTAGCCTGTCCCGTGCATTCGGTACGGGTGGATTAGGTTGAAAGGCCGCCGTGGGGCGAGACACACGGGGGTGGCTAATTGTTTTGCGTTGACATCTTCTTACAGAACAACTCATCTCTCCCCATAGAGTCCGGGATAACACAGCGATGTCCTAGTTCCCACGTTGTGGGACCTATCTGCGTTGTACTAGTTATTTCACCCCCGAGTCGCTTGTGCGGGGCAAGCCGAATAAAAGCAAACTGCGCATCACCACATTCTAGATTTTAATGTTAGGGAGTGCCGCATGATGTAGCCACTATTAGAGGGGGGCGTTTCGCCCAACTGGTGAGTTCTTGCTAGATTTGCCAGAGGCAATCATTCCTGACGAGTCGTTTTTTGCGTGTGCCATTTTGCGCTGCGGATGAGGTGGAAACGCGGGCGACGGGTGAAGGATGCCTTGTCGTGCCGTGGAGCAGCAGTTCGGTTGCTCTGTGTCTGTTGGCCATCACCGCCAGAGAATGGTTGGCACGGACGGTCTGATAATAGTGGACAACGAGAACAAAGCGGAGTAATTTTTTATGTGGTTGGCACGGTCTGAGAGTGGACAACGATATCAAGGCGGAGTACTCTTTTTTACGTGCTTAGGTGGTTCACGTTTTTAGTCATACACGTGCCATACCTGGAGAATTTATGTCTACGTAGGGCGCTCGCTGGTGCCAACAAATAATTGCATCGTGCGTGGTTTTCGTTCGCGATTGTTTCCCCCACTTGAGCGGCCAGGAGAGAGAGGGAGAATCGACTGTCGAGTCGAACGAGTATCTGGTAGTTATCGGTCCTGCATTCATCTCTCAAGAACTCATCTCGTGCCCACGAACTCACCGCTGTACGAATGAACGTAGTCAGTCGAACCTGTTTACCCCCAGCGCACCACCGAACCTTCGTTCCTTCGTTTGCCACACCCAAACTACTACTGTAGCTGCTTTGTTCTGTCCTCGATCGACCGTTTCTCAAATATGTAGTGTTGTTCTACTCAGGTGTATCATGGAACGGTCGAACCTGATACAAACCATTCCAATCGCTACCCAACCCCCTCTTGTGCTCCCTGATCCCTTCCGCGCGCCCCAGCCGCGCCCAGCCCCCGCACCCACGTCTACTACCTCCATGCCCTCTCCGTGTGGACAAATCTCCCGCTTCTCCAGAAGCCGACCCCAAGCACCCATCCCCGCGTCCGCCTGCTTACTTCTTCGCCGTCCCCTTTTCCCCAACCCCGGCGGCGGTGGCCGAGGGGGGCGGCAGATCGCCGCCGGCAGCAGGGGAAGGAGTGTCCCTGTCCTTGCCGGTGGCGGTCCAAGACTCCGGCGTCATGCGCTTGGTGGGGTACCGGGGGTGGCTGCGCCTCCCGGCGGCGCCTTTCCCGGGCTTGCTGCTCCACTCGGCGCTCATGAGCGACCGCCCTTGGAAGTGCGCGGGCATCGACCCGCCGCGCGCCGCTGCTGCACGACCACCTGCTGCGGCCTCCTCCCCCGTCCCTGACGACGCTGCAATAGTAGTGTTGTTGCTGTTGCTGCCGCTGTGTGTGGCTCTTTTGTCGAAGGCGTGCCTCTGCGCCGCTGTTATCCGGGCCGTCAGCCCCTTCGGCCTGCCTGCTATCGACGAGCCCGCCGCCGCCGCCGCCGCTACCGCCACACTCTGCTGCTGGTGCTGCCCTCGCTCCTCTTCCCATCGAACGTCGCCTCCGCCCCCGTCTCCCTTGCTTCCCCCTGTACCGCCAGAGGACCGCGTCGCCCCCATGATAGAAAGGGCCATCCGGGCCGACATGATGGCGTTGGCGCCCGCCGAGAGGGTGACTCGGTCCTGGCTGCTGCTGTGGCCCCCGGAGTCCTCCTGGCGGCGGCGGCAGCGGCTGCCACCGCTTCCTCCTTCTCCCTTCGGGTCGAGGACGCCGGTGAAACGGTCGGCCTTGGAGTCGAGGTCCTCCGGGGTAAGCGGCGGCAGGATTTCGTGTTCTCGATCTCGGATGGCCTCGCATTGCTCGAGGTACCTACAGAATAGTCGGGGGGGGG